ATTGAACCTTATGGGGAAATTTGCTTCAGGTTGCGACCAATTCGGGTTGCGGCCAGAGTCATGGAATGAATTAAGTTTGTAAACCGAGGTTCCACTGTATTTCTTATTATTTGCTAATGCTAATTTCCCTAAATTTCATCTTTCTCCACTCCTATGTAAGATCTATTTGAAACACTCCTTGCATAGGGATGGCTTTAATAAAAGAAAGAGATTGGAAGATAGCTTTATCAGTAGCTATTAGTTTTAGGCCTCAGCGATACCTCTGGGTTGAGGGCAGCATGCCTCCATATACTAGTTGCAGGAAATAATGTGTCCAGAAATTTATGTGTCCATCTCTTGGTTGCAAGAAACAAAATATTGAACTAACATTGGGCTTTACATTTCAGGGATCCAGCAGAGTTGTATTTACATTATTTTGTTAATATAAATTATCATAGAAAAAAATTACATTCTACAAATTTCACTTGCATTACATACCTCTTAGGGTACTCTAGTCCGCTAATGAAACAGCATCTTTAAAACAGGTTAACTGTTCACTTTAAAATTCTGATTGCATATTTGTATCTTACTTTGCAGCCGAGGTGCCAACTTTTTAACTCAGGTTCTATTACGGCCAGGTGCATCAGACTTAACGGGAAGCTTCAGGTAAGCTGGTTCCCAAATGGGATGTAACAATTCAAGAGGAGCAAGAATGCTTCAGGATAATGGTCAGTCTGAGATTGATAAAGAGATCTTTTGAACTTGTAAAACTTTTAGGTAACTTTTGGGAGGCACTTGTGTATAGCTTATTGCTGTTACTTATTCCTTTTTATTTCTTGAAAGTGTGTGTGCTTGAAACTGAAATGTTATAAACATTTTCATTTTATGTACACTAAATTTCAGGTTATACAGAAAAGAGGTTCTACAAAAACTGATGGAGAAATGTGTTTCAAAAGGATATGTTTTCCAAATGGAAATGATTGTCCGGGCCAGACAACTGGGATACTCTATTGGAGAGGTATGGTAAAAATCTAAAGCATAAAGAACATACTACATTTAAATTTTCATGCTCAAAGTTTACCTTCTGGCTATTAGAGATCGAACTAATTGACAAGTAAAAACACTGAGGAATCAGTGAAGATCATACAGTATGAGTAGCTTACACTGAAATCTCAATTACTGATTTACCCAGTAGTTTAAATGCAAATATTAGCTGAATATAGCATCAGAAATTTAATCAGATGAGGAACTTGGCTGTCAGTGACACACAAATATAAGCAAATAAGAGGTGCTGTTACAAATGTGAACATTTATTCTGTTGAAGAGGTGACCCTCTGGGATGAGAAAAGTATCCACTTAAATTGTAAGAAGCTTAGTGCCACCTTTCCAGCTACAGCTTCTAAAATTGGCTGTAATTCATCCTTCCTAGTATTCCAGCAACAGTGTAAATTTGGTCTGATGGCTTCATTACTGGTCATGTAGTGAAGATAAAAGTTATTGATGTTAAAAAGATATGCTAAAAAGGCACAATTTCCAAGGACCTATATTTAATTACTGAGGGCCTAGTATTGTACCTAATAAATGTGTGTCTAATATTTTAACACTTGTTGAACTTTACACAAGTTTCAAATCACAAAAAGAGTGGTACTGCTTCTTTATATGAAGTTATTTTTTATTTATTAAAACATTCTTAAACCATTTTTCTATTTGGTAGACTCTTAGCAATGTAGAGTGCAAAAAGCAGAACAATAAACCTACCTTTTTAAAAATAGCCAGATTTTTTACCAGTTTTGGAAAGGGTCAGAAAAATTTGCCCTGGGAAGGAGTTCTTAATTCCCTGGCCTGCCCCATAACCAGCAGCAAATCTATACTAGCTGTTGAGGTACCGCAAATTAATTCTTCGGGCTGATTGCAGTGGAAAGGAGTTTTTAAAAAAAACATTTGAGAATTGGAGCAGCAAACAAACACAGTTCCATATTCACTTCTGCCCAAATGGCAGAAGTCCATTAGGATGTTTAGTATCTTAATAGTTCAACTACATTCCATATTGTAGATCACTTTGCCAGTTGTGGATTATCTTAAACTATCAACTTCTGGGAATCCTATTTAGTGTAAAAATTCTATACCTTTCATTCCAACTTGAGATATTCCCTTGGGATTTCTGAATCCTTTAGCTAGGTTTGTTCATTAATTTATGCCAATGTCAGCTGTGTGGCAATAGATTTATAAAGCAATCATTGGAATTTCCATTGCCAAAAAGAAATATGCCTAGAAATACAATATATGTTTGGCAGAATAATCTGGGTGTAGGAATTTTTTCCTCCATTTCTGTTTGCCAGTTGATTTCTAGCGGAGTATGCTTACTGAAAATTCCTAACTAGACTTTCTGTGGATTCCAAAGGCTGAATTTGGGCTTTTAGGAATTTAACATATAGTGTTACATGCTAGAATGTTAATGTTCTTCTTTTGCTATACTGAAAATAACTTGTGTTTTAAAACATTTCAAAACAGTGTTGACTATATTTAATGAACACATAGTGAATTGGAACCATGTGTAATTAAACAAGAGCGTTACTTCAGATGTTTATTATAAAAAGAACAGCAATGCAAGTCAGTATCTCTTGAAAGTAAGGATGTTTTACAGTCCCTTTTCTTAACGGCCCTTTGAGAGGTTACTTGCCCTTGTTCTGTAGCCAGAGATCAGAGAAAGAAAGAGTAGGTTCCACCAAGGTCATATGAATTTACCACTGAATTGGGAACTATGCTTCTTTAGGATAGATTGCACTAGCCATAATAACACTAAAAATGTAAACCTGTGCTGTTCTGTTATACACATGCATACTGTATTCAGTAAGATATATGTTGGCCTAAATGTGTATCTTTTGGAAATTGCAAAGTTATCATTCTGTATTGTAGCAACAATAATGAGTTTCATTTTCATTTGAAAAGGAAGATACAAATACTTTAATTAAGCAGATTTAAAAAGAACCTGGCTCTTTTGTCTACTTAGTTTAAAAGATTAGAATTACAAAACAGGAGCACTAAAAAAAGCAGTGTAGAATATAACAAAAAATGATCAAAATTAAATGCTGTGGAAGCTTGAATAAACAAGAGTTTTTGGCAGTGTTTGAAAGATCATAATAATGATAGGAAGAAAGGAGAGTCCCGAATGTGGCATTTCCTTTTGGATCACTAGTGCATTCTGTCTTCATATTCAGGCTCCAGGCAGGCTGTTTTGCAACAATGGTTTTGTAAGAAATGTTCACTGAGATGATTTGGATGTTGTGAGAAAGCCATCACTTCATACTCTGCATCAAAACACATTGCATTAGCATGTTGATAGATAAATGTTAAATCTTGAGGTGAAGTGCTCCTGTTTATCTTTTTATTACTTCCTATAACTGGAATGATTTTATGATTTATTCATTTAATAGGTTCCTATATCATTTGTGGACCGAGTCTATGGAGAATCCAAACTAGGAGGCAATGAAATAGTTTCCTTTCTGAAAGGACTGTTGACTCTATTTGCCACTACGTAATAAAGAGATTCAGTATTATTCCAGTATTTCTATAGTTGACTGAATAATTTATATTGGATAGTGGAATTTGACAAAAATTAATTATGACTTTAGTGAACAGAAAATTTCAAGGTTTCTTCTTGCTTTATTTGGATAGACGTCTCTCGGGCATCATACTTCATGTCTGATAATGTAAAGGCTAAACTTTTAACTTTCTTCACCATTTTGGTAAAAAAAAAAGTGTTAGCATTTTAAATGAAGTACAAGTAGTGCTTGCCTAATGACCATAATTGGGACCATAATCTCAATCATTGAGCGAAGCAGTCATTGAGCGAGATGCCCACATGACTGCTTCGCTCAACGATTGCAATCCAGGCATTCCTGGTTGCAGTCGTTAAGCGATCTCCTGGGCAGGCAGCTTTTTGAGAGCGAAAGAGCTCCCTGCCAGACAGTTTCAGCTCTGCGTAGAGCTGAAATCCTCCTGGCAGGCAGCCCTTCTACTCTCAAATGTTCTTAAAGCCCACTGAAGGGTTTATCCTTCCTGGAGCTGGAGGAACAGAGCTCAGATCTTCAGGATTTGATCTCCATTCCTTCATACCGCTGAAACCTCTCAGTGGCAGGCAGTTACGGAGCTCAAATTGTGAAGATTTGATCTCCGTTCCTACCCACTATTGAGAAGAGAGGGGAAACCCTTTGGTGGTGTGAAGGAACGGAGATCAGATTTTCAGGATTTGAGCTCTGTAGCTGCCCACTGCTGAGAGGTTTCAGCAGTGTGAATCTTCAGGATTTGAGCTCAGTTCCTTCACACTGCCAAGAGGTTTCCCTCCCCTCTC